GCGGCTTCTTGTTCCTAGCGGGTTATTTACGGTCACGCTCAACGGACTAAGCGAAAGAGGGACTATTCGTGGTCTATATCATAGCGAATTATTTCTCATCATTTTTAATTTGCAGTTTGGACGTTGATCCGTTGTTGTCATTCTGTTGTTTCTCGAATATTGCGTACGAAGAAACGGGCTAAGAAAATTCCCCAGTAATGCTCATTTTCGTGAAGGATGACCGCGGATGGAGAATGACACTTGATAACTTATATCAAAGGCCCTATGCCTAGGATGCCTCGTGTCCCTTGTTTAGTGCACAGAAATCCACTGCCAAACCAAGCAAGTGTAATGCAAGCGTAACGCCAAGATGCATTTCACTTACGTTAATTTTACGAATAAAATCCGATCTGCCTCGATCGACCCGATTCGACCATTATTTACTATTAAAGGAAGTCACTCCAAAAACCGTGTATTTTTTTTAATCAGCAATACAAATTAAAGTTCACATTGAGTTGAGTTACTCACCGTTGTTTTAGCTTCTGCCGCTGATCCTACATACCCCATCTTCTCAAAATCATCGCCAACGAAACGAATTTGGTTAAAAAATCGAGTGTTAAGTGCCCATGTCCCACACGGTCAGTCAAAAATAGTGTTGCTCCTCGCTAAGGCTCGCAGTAATTAAGAATGTATCCAAGAGAAAACCAGGTAGAACCAGGCAGGAGGTGACACAGCTCAAACTTGCCACAAATGTTGGGTTTGGTGAGTGAATGATTGTGGCAAAACAGTAGGTCAAAATATTTTATTCCCTTCAAGTTAGGGGGAACCCCTGCAAAAATGGCCATTTGACACTAATTTATCCATATTTAATTAGCCATATTTGGTTTAGTATTTCTACAACAAGAAAAACCATGTGAAAATGAAATCCACTGGGACATGTTGTGCAACTATCAGTCTAGTACAACATTTAAGCACAGATATTCATTTCAACTGGGCAATTTGGGTGTCTCAAGTGCTTCTTTTCGCCAAACGTTTACTCGTAATTGATAGGAAAATGCTTAACTAGTTATTTCTTGTTGATTTCAAGTTAGGTTTAAGACAGTAGTATATACAGAATTAACCAAATACCATTTCGCAGAGGGAGCCTTATTTCGCCTTATCTCAGCCCCCACCATCAAAACCGGCCCTCACAAGCTCGGCCGGTTGAACCTGGGGGCTGCGAAACGGTGAAATTCGGCTCCCTCTTTGAAATAGTATTTGGTTAATTCTGTATATACTACTAACAACAAAGGAGAGCCCCATATTAGAAACAAGCGAGCCCGTGTTATACCGCGAGAGCCGGAATGACTCGAGCGCCAAACAAGTGCGGGTGGCTGATGCGGGGCCGGAAAGAAAGCTGCGGGCTTTCCGAAGCCATACAAAACCTTCCTCCAGAGCTTCGCGAGATGCTACTGAAGGAGTACATCACGATAAAAATAAAGGAGAAAAAGGAAATGGGTTGGGACAACGTCAACAAGCATATTTCGAAACTGCCAGTCTGCGAACTCAAGCAGCAAATTGTGCGAATGGTAATTTGTTTAGATTATGCGAACTGTTATTTCGAGGGTTGTTGTTTCCCCTGTTTCGAAAATGAGGGAACTGTTCATAATGCCTTGGTTAGGCCGCCGAATGATCCAGAACATCTCATTGAAGCTGACCCTGATTACAAGAATTTTTTAGAAATATGCTCCTGGAACGGTTACGATTGGCACGAGTGGTTCTTTTTTGGCCCGGAGCGTCAGCGAAAAAAAGGCGGCGACGATATAACCTCCGGACGAATTAACATTTAAAAATACACGGCTTAATTTGCATATCATAAAAACATGCTTGTCAGTGTTCACTTGATTGCGTTTCTTGTGAATGAATATTTCACGNCAACAAAGGAGAGCCCCATATTAGAAACAAGCGAGCCCGTGTTATACCGCGAGAGCCGGAATGACTCGAGCGCCAAACAAGTGCGGGTGGCTGATGCGGGGCCGGAAAGAAAGCTGCGGGAAGAGCTGTTACGGGGCGTATTGTGGGCAGCACAACTACCAGCTGAAGAAAGGAATGCGAATGCCAGAGCCATGCAGAGTTTGCGGAGTCGGACTTCTGTGTGACTACCGTCTTTGCAAGCCCTGCGGCTGGTGCGCGCTAAAACAACGTCTCTTCCGCAAACAAGAGAAAGCAAAAAAAGAATTTAAACGTGTTTTGCTCGAGCTTAAAAAAAGAAACACGCCAGTTAGAGAAACGCATCATCGAGTATAACGCAGGACACAATGGCTTCCACCGACCAGGAAAGGTTGGAAGAAGAACTCGCGAAAATTGATCCCGCGGTATTGCGTTATTTCGATGAACTTCTTGCAGAAAGCGCGCCAGCGGCGAGAAAGGTTGACCAGAATGTGCTGGACGAGCCGATTTCTCAAGAAACGCTGGCGCGCCAGCAAAGGCCGCTTCTCCCGAGACCTTACGAGCCAAGAGCCCCT